GTGCCTGCAATGCCAGAGACCTGGGTTTGATGCCCAGGACAGAAAGATCCCCTAGAGAAGGGAATAGCTACCCACTCCAGTATTCTTGCCTGGGGAATCCCAAGGACAGAGGAGCCTGGTGGGCTACAGTCCATGGGGTAGCAGAGTCAGACACAAGTGAGCAGTTAACACTCTCACTGCCTTTTGGAACTCCTTTATTCCCCACACAGAGCACCTTGCTACTGATCCTTCTGGTGACCAAGAAATCCTTCCAGGACACCAGCCGCCTACCTGGAGGAGGCATCAGGTCTCACAGGTTAAAGGCTGAAGCCCCTGAGACACCTGTCCCCCATTCAGATGCCAGTTGCTCACAATTTCTGTCCAATTTGACCACACATCAAGGGTTCCCATCTCCCCTTCTTCAGGCTTGATTAATTTGCTGGGGTGACCTATAGAACTCAGGGAATAATTAGGTTTCTTGTCTTATTAAAAGATACAGTGAAAGGACACAGGTGAGCAACCAGATGCAGAGACACCCAGGATGAAGTGGGGGAGGGTCCCAAGCATAGGAGATTTGGAGGACTGGGGTGCATCACCCCCCAATACAAGGATGTGGTCACCCACATGGGTGTTCTGAATCTCAGTTCAGGATTTGGGGGGAGGCTTCCTCCAGAGGCATGACTATTTCCAGCTCCATCGGGAGGTTTTTCTGGTGACCAGTCCCCATCCAGGAGCCCACCAGAGTAACCTCAGTAGAACAGAAAATGCTCCTGGAGTTCTTATCACTTAGAAATTTACAAGGGATTCAGATGCTCTGTGCCAGGAATCTGGGCAGAGATCACTATGTCTATTTCGTTTACCTCACAGAAGGCTTCAAGGAGGGAGCTTAAGAATGTCATCAGGTCACCAGCCCAGGTTGGGTGCACGAGACAAGTGCTCCGGCCTGGTTCACTGGGAAGACCCAGAGGGATGGGGTGGAGAGGGAGGTGGAAGGGGGGACCGGGATGCGGAATAAAAAATAATAATAATAAAAAAAAATAAAAAATAAAAAATAAATAAAAAAAAAAGAATGTCATCAGGGTTGACCCTGGGACAGAATGATGAGTCCAGACCCCTCCTCTCCTGGTCCCAGGGCTCCCCCTGCACAGAGATGCTCCCAGCTCAGCAGCAAGCTGGACCCTGTGTTCACAGCCTGGCTGGCCCACCAAAGACCCCCACAGACCACCTTGGGCCCTCCCCTCCAGGATGGAGGCTCCCCAGCCTCCAGCTTCCTATGAACTTGGGTCCAGGCAGATGCAGTTCTCCCTGTGGGCCTCTCCTTCCTCTGCTCTGATAGTTCTGGAAGGGAGGACTGATTAGTCTGCTGGTTGCTCCCGCCCTCCTCCCAGTCTCCTGGGCGGCAAGGACAAGTCTTGGTCAATCAGTGCTTGTGTCATCACCCTATGGGCTGACATCTGGTCGGTTGGACTGAGACCTTGGAGGTGGGCCTCAGTGGGGCTGAGGTCTCTCTGGACCCAGCTTTGGAGACTCCTCCCCTGAGGTGGGTTTGCAGCCACTGCTGGGTGGGGTGGGTGTCACCTGAACCATCTCCTGGGCAGGCTGTGGGCTCCCGGGAGCTCACTGGGCAGAGCCCCTCAAGCATCACATGCCCTGGGGGAGAGGACCCTGAGGGGCAGGTGATGGTCCTGCCAGGCACCCTCTCAGGAGCTCCCAGCCTTGATCATGAAGAACTGAGCTCCAGAGTCCAGCCCCAGGCTACTGTTTGATCCTGCTTTTCTTTCCTCTTTAGCTTTTAATGCACCTTGAGCTCCTGTTCAGTCCTTCCTGCACCCTCATTGTTACATTGTTCTTATTTTATGTCTTATATAGAATTACTTTTTTTTTTTTTCAGGTGAACTGCACTTTCATTGTGGACTCACGGCCCTGGTTCACCCGGTTTACCCTCCTGAATAGCACCTGCCAGCAGATATAAGGGAACGAGTTCCGGACTCCCATGGCACGTCCTCTTCCCCTGAAGAGTGAGGGTCTGGAGTTCTAAGTCTGCATGGCACTAGGGCAATTAAAGGCATCTCAAGCACATTCTGGATCCCTGTCATTTTTGCCTTCTCTCTGATGACTTATTTCCGTGGATGCTGCTGCCAGTGTTGAGTGATGGAGAATTTATCATTGGTCTCAGCTTGGTTGCAGGTGCAGGTACTGAGTTAATCCAACTCCTCTGATCATGGGAGGTTGCCCTTCCTGTTTCCTCCAGGGCCCTCATGGTTAGTGTACATATTCATTCATTCATTCATATATTCCTCGTTTGTCTATCATCTGTCCATCCATGTATCTATGCATCTGTCCCTTCACTCATCCATATAGTCAGGCATCCATTCATCTTTCCATCATCCATGCATCCATCTATCCATCCATCCAGGCATACATCCATCCTCCCATCATCCACTCTTTTGTCCATTCACCCTCCAATCCCTCCAGCTTCCATACATTCCACTCAAAAGGAATCCAGACAGTTTTTCCAGGTGACAGCCACCTGTGTCCCTTCTATGCCCATCTCTGAGGCCAGACTCACAGTGGATAGTCCTTCTGGGATGGGGTGGGGGAGGATGCCCAGGCACAAGGGTGGGAAGTGGGTGACTAAGATGATGGAAGGCTCTTAGTGGACCCCCATCAGGGCATCTGCCCTGGAGCTCATTGACAGATGAGGAAGTCTTCTCAGGGTCTCTGGGGATGACTCAAAAGATGGCAGCCCCTCCCCTCCCGCTCCCTGACCCTTGTGTTCCCCCAGTGGAGCCCAGCCTGTCTTCCAAGCCTATCAACACAGAATCACTAGCCCTGGAACAGGCCTGGAGGCTCAAAGGGATGGGGCCGTGGGGGCCTGACTGGGACAGAGAGGCCATGGGATGCCATCTGGAGGAGGACTTCAGAGGAAGAGGCTTCAGGGGTCTTCCCTCTGCATTTTGAGTTTGGGGATCTAATTTGCATGTCCATGGTTGTTGATCCCTTTCCTGGCTGGCCGTTACCCATGATGAGGCTGTAAGCACTGGTGAGACAGACCCCACTCTGCCCTGTCCCCCAGCTCTAGGCAACTCCATGAGCACAGCTGGCTGGAGTCAGCTTTGGTCCTTTGCTACCTGTGTTTGGGATTTCTACATCTCCCCGCAATTTGATAAGGGCAAGTACAAACTGATAGGAGTGGGGATGTGGTCAGCCAAGCTTCCTTTGAGGGCACTTGGGCTCAGAGGGATGGAGCCGTTGTTTGCGGGCCCTGGGCTAGACAAGTCTAGCCTCACCTCCCGTTTCCCAGCAGAGGTTCTTTGTCCTGCTCTTTTCAGCTGTGCTGTGGTCTGAGCTCAGATACACCTGACTACACTGGGTGGCTTTGCACTTGTCCCTGTCTCTGTGTCATGGCACTTAGCATTCAGACCCAGCTTCAAGGTGACTATAAGCCCACCACGAGCCTCTGGGGGAGACACCAGGGTTCGAGTGAAGGTGACTAATGTTGACTGCAGCCTCCGTCTGCTGGCTGTAGCTCTAAACATGTATGGGATCAGAAACACAGCCTTTGGGAAATCGATGTCACAGCTTTGCTTGGTTGGGGAAGTTACAAGAGATCTCTCTGGTGTAGGGGTCATCCCTTCTCCCAGTCTCCGGAGAAGTAAAGTCACAAGGGACAGAACCAGAGGGAGAACAACCAGATTCCTGGTCCAGGGAAGAGTGAAAGCACTGTCTCAATGGCTGACAGACAGCCCACAAGGTGAAAGCCAGATGATATTTACAAAAGTGTAAGAAATCATTTAACAAATTTGATTTAGATATTGTGGAGACCTGAAGCTACTCCACGGGACATCCAGTTTGTGTGACCAGGCGGTCTGTGGGGACCTTACCCTGACATGAGCCCCCAGTACAAGCACAGGCCCAAGAGGACAAATGAAAGACTGGATGCAACTTCCCCCAAAGTCTTCCCTGCCCCTGTAGCCGCCTTAGATAAGACCCCTGCAGAGCTTTCCAGAACCTGCTGTCTTGGTTTGAATTGACCAATCCGGCCTTAGCCGGGAGTCCAAGGCCTCCAGTGAAGGCTTGCACATATTGCTTTATGTTTGCACCCCCAGTCATGACCCTCCCCCCTCCCCCCAACAGCATGGGCCCTGCTGGTACCTCGTCCAGAGCTTGAGAGCAGGAGACGTCTCTGTTTCAGCTTCTCTGTGGTCTCTTCAGAGCCATGGCTTGCTGCCAAGCACCCTGGGCTGCGCCTCAGTGTTGATTTGACAAATGAATAACAGTTGCACAGACTATCCACCAGTGGCCACAGAGCGCGTGCTCTTTTTGAGCTGATAAAACATTTATCCAAATTCAATGTATTCTAATCCTGATGTTTCGCAGCCCCTGACCCCCTCCTGGCTGCCGTTCACGTCCTTTCCAGCAGGGCCCCTGCCTTGGCTGGCTTCCCTGTTACTCACAGACATTAGAAGCCCCCTCCCCAGTGCCTAGCATGGCTAGACCCCAGGGCAAGGAGGTCCGCAGACGTGGGAGGTGGAGAGAACGCAACCCCAGCCCACACACTGCCCTTCATTGTACATTCCAGACGCTTCCTGAGGTCGTGGGCTGCAGCCAAGGTCAGAGGTAGATCCAGTTTGACCCTCAGCTGCCCAGGACTCGGGACCCACCAGTATCCCTGAGAGCTTCTATGACTCTGCCCGTCCTGGGGTGCACTACTATGAGGGGAATCCCAGAGGGCTTGAGACCCTCACCCAGGCCCTGCTGAGGCTGGTCTGAAGCTGCCCTAGAGATGAGGGTGAACAGAACCTGCAGGTCCCTGGTGCCCAAGGCTTATTTGACAAGGGGTGGAAACTGGGACATCCCCCCACCCCACCCCCATCTGGTGATGATGGGAGGGTCAGAGAGGAGGAACTGGGCAGAGGGCCTGGTGGGCAGCAGAGCGCTGCCCGGGGCAGGGCAGTGCCGCGGGGAGCTGAGGAGGACTGTCTCCTGAGCACTCGGCCTCCAGGACGACGCTGGACAACATGTTCTGGAAGCTGCCTCTGCTCCTGGGGCTTCTTGCTCTGGGGCCTCACGTCCGCAGCTGGATATTTGAGGAAGTCGGGAAGAGAGGGAAACAGTTCAGCCTGTGTGTGGAGTTTGCCGTGCACCACTTCAACGAGCACCAACCGGACGAGAATGCGTACAAGCTGCTCTGGGTCAGGCGGAGTCTGCACAAGGTGAGGGTGAGGGGAGTGGGGGAAGGCGTGGAGGTGGAAAGGGAGGCAGCCTGGGGAGGGGGAGAGACCCTCCCCGTGGCCCCACCTTTTCCCTGAAGCCAGGCCCCGGGGTGGGGGTGGGGGGTCCATGGTCTGCATGAAAGGGTAAGAGATCCTTCGTTTGGTCAGTGTTAGTCACTCAGCTATGTCCGACTCTTTGTGACCCCATGGAATGTAGCCCACGAGGGTCTCCTGTCCAGGGGATTCTCCAGGCAAGAATACTGGAGTGGGTTGCCACGCCCTCCTCCAGGGGATCTTCCTGACCCAGGTCTCCCATGTTGCAGGCAGATTCTTTACTGTCTTGAGCCACCAGGGAAGCCCTCATTTGATCAATGATGTTTAAAAATACAAACACTTCCATTAGAAGGGCTCCAAGGTTCCAAAGCATTTGCTGAATGCTTGGAGCAGGGGAGAGGAGAGGGAGGCAGAAGGTCAGGCGAGGAGGGAGATGAAAGGGGGGGCAGCACCCCAACTTCAAAGTCCAGGAAGGAGCAGCATCGTAGAGTCGACCGCGGGCCTAGGCCGCCAGGCTCATGGCCCAACTGCCGGGCTGAGGCGCCTTGTGGAGCAGGCCACCAAGGGTCCTGGGTCGGGAAGATCCCCTGGAGTGGGGCATGGTGACGCACTCCAGTACTCTTGCCTGGAGAATCCCATGGACAGAGGAGCCTGGCGGGCTACAGTCCATGGGGTCTCAAAGAGTCGGGCACAAGTGAGCCACTAACACTGACCAAATGAAGGATCTCTCGCCCTTTCATCCAGACCACAGATCCACCACCCCACCCTGGGGCCTGACTTCGTGGTAAAGGTGGGACCATGGGGAGTCTCTCCCCTTCCCCAAGCCCCCTCCAGGCCTGAGGGAGGCAGTGGAGATAGCAGGGCCTGCTCTTCTGGGGCTGTTCTCCTGGTGATGAGAGCAGTCAAGCCCCAAGTTCTCAGAGGAGACAGTTGAAGAGGCGGACAAGAGCGGTCAGTGCAGGCCCACAGGGCTGTGGGGAGGGAGGTGGGGGGCAGAAGAGCCTTTTTGAAGACTGGCATTCCTGAGAGGACCTACATGAAGGTTTGGGGATAAGAAGGATGGGGAACCCCAGAGAGGGCCTTGGACCAGGAGGAGTTGTGAGTGCCTGCAGGGCCAGGCTGCAGTCTATGGGGTCTGTGTCACAGAGAACGAGTGCAGGGGGAGGGGGCGGCGGTGGCATGTGGGGTATGGGTGTGTTGGTGGCCAGCCAGGATGTTCCCCTCAGAGTGTCAGGGCCTCAGGAGAAGAGGTCGCTCAGCTTTGTCCAGCATCTCTCTGGACTCTGTGGGAGCAGTGGGTGTCTCAGCCTGGGTGCAAGCTGAGACCAGGGTGCAGGAGCCCTGCCCTGGCCTCCGGGTGGCAGAGAAGAGCTGGCTTCTGAGTCTGCTTGGAAATTGATGTGGGGTATGGGTGGGGTGTCAGGCATGGACCCCAGGTCATGGTGCTGAGCAGATGGGCAGATGGCACAGAGAGGGGCGGGGGAGACTGGAAGGAGGTCGGGTATCCCCAAGGCAGCCTGGGAAGGTCAGGAAGGCTGTGGTTACAGAGCATCAGGGTGGGGAAGAGGGGAGCGTGGTGTCCTGAGCACTTGGCCGGGCAGCGCTTTCCCACTGATGTGCATTACTCCCCCACCTGTGCCCTTTGTCTGGATTAACTGTTGTCCAGCCGTTCCGAGCCCAGACCCAAGCCTGATACCGGATGGCCAGCCCCAAGTCAGCCTGAATTAGCAGGGCTCTGATGGGAGGGTCCTCTCCTTCACAGACAGCCCCGGTTTCCCTCACATGCCCTCATTTCCTGACCAGCTGGTCCTTCCCTGGCTTGAGTCCCAGCCCCAGACTTGGCAAGGCCAAGAGCCCCTCAAGCATCCGTGTGGCCACTGCTGCCCCCAATCCATCCTAAACCTGTCCTTGTCCGGGATCCAGCCGCAGTGCAAGAGACTGGGCATGTGTTTGTGTGTGTGTGTGTGTTGGGGGGTAGGCTGCATCAGCTGCAGGCATTCCTGTACCCCTAAGGAAGCCAGTTTTCTAGACATTTCCAGAGCAGTGCCCCAGAGGCATATTCCAGGTTTCTGGCTACATCTCTCTCCACGCCAAGTTTGAGTTCTCCAAGTTCTCACCACCTCTCCATAAGAGATGAGATTCTATCTTGTGATGACTTCTTAGAGAAGCTGATGAATACACAGAGCAGCACCCGGGTCACAAACATCCACCTGGATGAAGGTTTGCCAGGTGAGCCCTTGGGTGTCACAGCTGCCCCAGGAGAGAGGGAACATCCAGCCCCTGAAACCCTATCCTGGTCTGGATGTTGCCCCCTAAAGGGACAGTATGGCTTTGACAGAGGCTCAGCGGATGAGCATTTTTGGCCCCCTCCCTAGATGGAGATGTGTGATGCCCTCTGGGTGTCTGGATAATGTGATTGAGAGCTGGGTGATGCCAGGTGTGCTGTGCATGTACTGTCAATGCCAGGGCCCTTCGTCCTGGAACACCACCCCCCCAATGCCATGTGCTGGTGATGCAGCTCCTGGGTGCCAACCATCAGGAGAAGTGAGGCAGGGGAAATTCCAGGGCTGCGGGAGCTGCACTCAGGGGCATCTTTTTGTAAGAAAATAGAGATTTATGATGAAAAAGAAAAATAATATATAAACTGATAATAAAAAAATAAGAAAATGCACCTAGGCTTGTCCCAATTGATACACATGTGCACATTCACACCATTTGCCCATTTTTTATCCGATTGTTTGTGCTTTTCTCATTACTGCAAAGTATGTATTCACAGAAGTTTCTGCAATCTTCCTTTGACAGAAGTACAGTTTGATATATTTAATGGACCTGAATCTGGGCCGCACAATCTGTAAAAAACACGACGAAGACATCGACAACTGCCCCTTGCAAGAAGGCCCAGAAGGGAAAAAGGTTTGAGAGTAAAATCAACCCAAAGCATCACAAATCTTCAGAGAACGAAAAAGAATGTCAAGGAGGGTCTGTGAGGCGGCTTAGAAGGCATCAGTTTGACCCTGGGACAGAATGCAGGGTCCAGGCCCTTCCCCACCAGGACCCAGGGCTCCCCCTGCACAGAGATGCTCCCAGCTCAGCAGCAAGCTGGACCCTGTGCTTACAGCCTGGCTGGCCCATCAGAGACTCCTACAGACCCCCTTGGACCCTTCCCTCCAGGATGGAGGCTCCCCAGCCTCCAGTTTCCTATGATCTTGGGTCCAGGCAGATGCAGTTCTCCCTGTGGGCCTCTCCTTCCTCTGCTCCGATTCTTCTGGACGGGAGGACTGATTAGTCTGCTAGTCGCTCCCGCCCTCCTCCCAGTCTCCTGGGCAGCAAGGACAAGTCTCGGTCAATCAGTCCTGTGTCATCACCCTATGGGCTGACGTCTGGTCGGTTGGACTGAGACCTTGGAGATGGGTCTCAGTCAGGGAGATGCCCTCAGTGGGGCTGAGGTCTCTCTGGACCCAGCCTTGGAGACTTCTCCCCTGAGGTGGGTTTGCAGCCACTGCTGGGTGGGGTGGGTGTCACCTGAACCATCTCCTGGGCAGGCTGTGGGCTCCCGGGAGCTCACTGGGCAGAGCCCCTCAGGCATCACATGCCCTGGGGGAGAGGACCCTGAGGGGCAGGTGATGGTCCTGCCAGGCACCCTCTCAGGAGCTCCCAGCCTTGATCATGAAGAACTGAGCTCCAGAGTCCAGCCCCAGGCTACTGTTTGATCCTGCTTTTCTTTCCTCTTCAGCTTTTAATGTACCTTGAGCTCCTGTTCAGTCCTTCCTGCACCCTCATTGTTACATTGTTCTTATTTTATGTCTTATATAGAATTACTTTTTTTTTTCAGGTGAACTGCACTTTCATTGTGGACTCACGGCCCTGGTTCACCCAGTTTACCCTCCTGAATAGCACCTGCCAGCAGATATAAGGGAACGAGTTCCGGACTCCCATGGCACGTCCTCTTCCCCTGAAGAGTGAGGGTCTGGAGTCCTAGGCCTGCATGGCACCAGGGCAATTAAAGGCATCTCAAGCACGTTCTGGATCCCTGTCATTTTTGCCTTCTCTCTGATGACTTATTTCCGTGGATGCTGCTGCCAGTGTTGAGTGATGGAGAATTTATCGTTGGTCTCACCTTGGTTGCAGGTGCAGGTACTGAGTTAATCAAACTCCTCTGCTCACGGAGGGTTGTCCTTCATGGGTCCTACAGGGCCCTTGGGATTGGTGTTGTATATTCATTCATTCATATATTCTTCATTTGTCTGTCACCTGTCCATTCATGCATGCTTCCATCCATCCATTTATTCATCCTTCCGTTCATCTACCCACGTATCTATTCACTCATCCAGCCATCCTTCCATGTATCTATCCAGCCATGCATTCATCCCATCCTTGCATCATCTATGTTTTCATCCATCCATCCATCCATCCTTCCTTCCTTCCGTTATCCATTCTTCCATTCTTTTTTCTATTCATGTTCCAATCTCTCCACCCTCCATCCATTCCACTCAAAAAGAATCCAGACAGTTTTGCAGGTGACAGCCGCTTGTGTCCTTTCCATGTCCATCTCTGAGAACAGACTCACAGTGGATGGTCCTTCTGGGTTGGGATGAGGGGAGGATGCCCAGGCACAGGGGTGGGAAGTGGGTGACTAAGACGATGGAAGGCTCTGTCCTCTGTGGACTCCCATAGGGCAACTGCCCTGGAGCTCACTGATGGATGAGAATGTCTTCTCAAGGTCTCTAGGGACGGCTCAGAAGACGGCAGCTCCAGTCCCCCTGTTCCCTCCCACTCCCTGACCCTTGTGTTTCCCCATAGGAGCCCAGCCTGTCTTCCAAGGCTGTCACCATAGATCACTAGCCCTGGGACAGGCCCTGGGGTAACAGAACTCCTTACAAGCATGTCTCTCTCCCTGGGTCCTGGTGGGGGCTGCTCTGGAGGGTTCAAGGGTGTGGGGGCCCAACTGGGACAGAGAGGTCATGGGACGCTGTCTGGAGGAGGACTTTAGGAGGGGCTGAGGGGTCTTCCTTCTGCCTTTTGAGTTTGGGGATCTGATTTTCTTGTCGGTGGTCACTGGCTTGTCTCTTTTCTGGCCAATTGGCTCCCCTGAAGGGGTCATCCGCTCTGATGGGACTGCTTTTCCCAAGACTACCAAGGACAACTCTACCAGCCTCATCACAAAGACAGTGGTCTGCTCCGCTTTGGCTCCTTGTCCAGCCTGTGTGTAGATCCTGTAACATCCTCACGGTCTGGCAGGGGCATGTACACATTGACTGGATAAGTCTGTGGTCAGCTAAGCCAGTCTGTTGCCCACCCTTGGCTCAGAGCTCTTGGTTCTGAAGACTGTGGCTCTGGGCCCACACTGGCCTGGGACAAGCAGGCCCTTCCTGAGGGGTTGGTGGGCTCTGCCCCAAGTGAGCGTCTTCACCCAAACCCTCATCCCCCTGGGGAAGGCCTGACATCTGCTCTGTTTCATTATATGTCGGTAGTTTTCAAACTTGGTAACCCCTTTGGCTTCATTTCTCTCATCTCCTCTCCTCTCCCACTTATGCCCATCTCTGTGACCTGACATCAGGAAAACACAAGGTCCCCAGGTGGTTGGCACTTGTGCCCAAGATCTGGGAAATGGTTCCAAGGAAGCCCGGTCTTCAGAGATGTGTGAATCCCATGAGAGTATTTTGTCTGTGGCTTATGTTCTGCCTTTGGATCCTGCTCTCTGGAGCAGATTTATCAGAGTAAAACCATGGCCCATCCACTGAGCTGAAGCTCATGGTCACAAGCTCTGAGCGGGCCTGCGGAGAGGACTGGTAAATTTCACACCCACCACTGATGTCATCAGTGAAATCATATTAGCAGGTTGTGGGTGATGACTTACTTCCTTGGGTCAGTCACAACCAGTGGCCTGTTCCGTGTCACCGTGTCCTGAAGGGACCTCTCCAGATTCAGCCTAGTCTGAAATCAAGAGGGAGGGAAAATATACAGAGTACACGCACACAGTAGAAAAATGGATGTGTTGTTTTTAGAAATCCTTGATTTCCGCAAAACCCAGAATGTTTTCTCAGTTTACCTGGCTTGGAGAAGCAGGGCCCTTTGGGGTATATGTGCTGAGCTCCTGGTTAACTCATCTTATCACAGGGGAAGGTACGCAGAGGCAGCAGGAAAGGATGAGGAGAGAAATTTGGATGCTTTAAGAACACAGTGCAAATAGAAGTATCTGTAGAACTGCGAACCTATAAACCCTAGAAGAAGAGAAAAGCAAAAAGATAGAAATATTATAAGAAATAATGAAGATACGTTTTCCAGCATTAAAGGAAGACACAATGAGAAGATTTTGTATCAGCTCTAGCTGCATAAGAAGCACCCTCAAAATATCACGCATAGTAGGAAGCATTCATCCTCCCTAACAGGTATGCCAAGTAGGGGGACTGTCTCTGATTACAATCAGAGCCACCCAGGATTAAACTTTTCTGTGTCCTGTTCTTTGCAACCCCATGAATTGTAGCCCACCAGGCTCCCCTGTCTGTAGGATTTCCCAGGTAAAAATATTGGAGTAAAATAAAAAAAAGAAGACTAAATTAGGTTGGCATTTCCTTCTCCAGGGGATTCCCAACACAGGGATCAAACTTATGTCTCCTGCTTGGCAGGTGGATTCTTTATCACTGAGCCACCTGGGAAGCAAACTCTTCTAGGTAATATTAACATGCTGATGGTGCGTGTGTGTGTGTGTGTGTGTGTATGCAAGTGCTTGTGAAATTCAAAGGATTATGAGAGTGTTAGGGGGCATAGGATTTGGTTCTTTTACAAAGTCAACAACAGTAACCACTTCTTTCTACAAGATATCCAAACCCCGGAAACATTGCTTCAGTTGGGTGAATTTTAGTATACTATTCAGCTCTTGGCACAGGAATACTGCCTGACAACCTGCCCCTCCCCCTCACCTTGACCTCACCTTGATCTCAGCAGTGAGTTGTAGCAGGAGTCCATAATCAGGTCAGGGTCTGAGACTGGCCCAGAGTCGTGGCTGTGTGGCTTTCCTTTAGGTCAGCACAGCTAGGCTCACCCTGGGGTGGGGTTTACATATTCTGGGGTCCAGACCAGGTGCCTGACCCTAGAAGCTCCCATATCACATGTTCTCAGACTAGGGTCTCCCAGGGCCCCCTCACCTTGGGAGACCGCCAGAGAGCAGGAGAAATCTTCACATCTTATCCTGATGCTGTCAACCCTGCCTCCACTGCACAGGCGGACAGCAGTCATGTGCCAGCCCACCACTGCAGGAGGCTGGGTCAGGGCAAAGGGTGCAAGTGAGCTGGTCTTCGTCTTGGGGAAGGGACAAGGACCACAGGCATGCTTCTCTGTGCAAGTCTTGGTACCATAACCTGGAGCAGACAGCCCAGGTCCTAGGGTTGCATGTGTGGTGATGGACATCTGTTCTTCCCCAAAGTAGGAAACCCAGCAGAACTGGGCATGGCAGGGGCGCAGACACCAGTGACTAAGTGCTGAGGAAAGGCAAAGATGAGAAATACAGGGTCCAGGGTGGGGTCACAGGACAGCTGAGGAGCAGGTGTGAGAGACCTATGACACTCTGGCTCCTGGTCTGGGTGATGGATGCATGGGTGTCCAGCGTGTTGTACCAATGCCAGGAGTGCTGCGAACCAAGACAGATGACGTTGAAGCTGGCTCTGGGCAACTAGAGTTCTTAAGAAAAGACAAGCCAAGAGAAACCTCAAATGCACCCTGGTGTCAGAGAAAAGTCCAGCATGTGTTTAGAAATCGGTAGTTGATTGGATAAGGGCTGGGGGGTTACTCCATCAGCCCAGCCTCTGAGGACCTAGGGGTGGGGGACTCCACCCCCATCCACTGAAGACCCTTGACGTGGGCTCCACATTTGCCAGGCTGGGTCTTGGGTTTTGCCCTTTATGACCCCCTGGCCTGAGGGCTCAGTGGGGCCTTGGGTGCCTCCCAACCTGCTTGGGCTTCCCTCCCGAGGGCCCTTGCTCACCCGTGTCCCTGCATTGTGGGAACCATCGCACGTAGGAGAAAACCTGTCTCCTTTATACTCTTGGCCGTGACAGAACTGGGAGGGGACCCAAGTGTCCCAGGAGGGAGGGACGTGGCGTCCCAAGGAAGAGGCCCTGCGGTCTCTGGTGCTTAATATGTCCCCAGAGTGGAGTCTCCCCTGGTTCAGACCTTGAACTATGGTGCCTGAGGCTTCCTGAACCCAGGGGCAAAGGGGCAGGTGTGGCTGACTCCCTCAGGGTGACAGATTGTCAGCCCTCAGGTCCTGCTCCTCCTTGCTATTCTGCTGTGAGCATAGGAATTGCACTCTGGTCTAACCTGTTTCCATTTATTTACCATCATACCCCTGCTAAGCTTATCTACTCTCTTTTTTTCCCTAGTTATTGAAGAATATATAGAATATATAAAATACATTCTTCAATACTTATAATCATTGAATTATAATCCAATATAATTATAATATATAAGCTGAGTGCTGAAGAATTGATGCTTTTGAACTGTGGAGCTGGAGAAGACTCTTGAGAGTCCCTTGGACTGCAAGGAGATCCAACCAGTCCGTCCTAAAGGAATCAGTCCTGAATATTCATTAGAAGGACTGATGTTGAAGCTGGAACTCCAATACTTTGGCCACTTGATGCGAAGAACTGACTCATTAGAAAAGACCCTGATGCTGGGAAAGATTGAAGGTGGGAGGAAAAGGGGACGACAGAGGATGAGATGGCTGGATGGCATCACTGACTCATTGGACATTAGTTTGAGTAAGCTCCAGGAGTTGGTGATAGACAGGGAAGCCTGGTGTGCTGCAGTCCATGGGGTCGCAAAGAGTTGGACATGACTGAGAGACTGAACTGAACTGAAGAGGCTCCTTTTATTCAAATCATAATGCGTTTGTATTCCTGGTGGCTCAGATGGTAAAGAATCTGCCTGCAATGAAGGAGACCTGGGTTCACTCCCTATGTTGGGAAGATTCCTTGGAGAAGGAAATGGCAACCCACTCCAGTATTCTTGCCTGGAGAATCCCATGGACAGAGGAGCCTCTTGGGCTACAACAGTTCATGGGCTCAAAAAGTTGGACACGGCGGAGCGACTAACACACATATTTACTAAAGGCGGGAAACTCTTAAAGTACCCCTGGTACTTTTAATATGTAGCAAAATTTAAAAATCATGAATGCATTAGAGTTGACCTCAGAACAACACTGGCTTAAAGTAGGTAGGTACACTTATAAATGGATATTTTTTTTTTTTAATGCATTTGTGGACTGTAAACAAATTTCAACCATAGGCTATCAGTAGTTAAGTTTTGGGGGAATCAGATGTTCTATGTGGATTTTTGACTGTACTGCGGGTAGATGCCTCTCACCCCTTCGTTGCTCAAGAGTCAACTGTACCAATAAGTGACCAGCAATAGGCCATTCCCTGGTGACTCAGCTGGTAAAGAATCAGACTGCAGTGTGGGAGACCTGGGTTCAATCCCTGGGTTGGGAAGACCCTGTGGAGAAGAGAATGACTACCCAGCCCAGTATTCTGGCCTGGAGAATTCCATGGACTTGTATAGTCCATGGATTTGCAAAGAGTCTGACATGACTGAGTACCTTTCACTTTCTTTCACTAAATTTAAATTCATGTAATGCTTTGCATTGATTCTTTCTCTGGTCTTTTATTATGCAGAAATACTTGCATAATTTCGCAAAGATGTTGGAAAGGTGCCCAGCAGAGGGGGTCAGAGGCCAGGCGCTTAGGAAGCCGAGGTCATAGCGTGCTCAGCTTTCCACACCAAGGGCAGAAGCAGGAGGGGCATGCCATGTGAGCCTCCTGGACCAGGACCAGGGGCCAGCTGGGGCGAGGCGCCCTCTGACACAGGGTCACAGGTGTGGGATTACATCACAAAGTGGGACTGCCCTGGGGGGAATGGAGGTCACAGGTGACCACAGACCAGGGAGCAGGAACAAAGAGTCCCCAGACTAGGGCGTTGATGAAGCTGAGAGCACTGGGTTCGTAGGAGAACTCTGGGCTGGGGCTAGGTCACAGCCTGACTCCCCAGGACGGGGAGCGGCCGGAAAGGGAGCCAAAGTAGGAAACCTCAGGGCTGCCACACCTTTTACAGCTGTTTCTTACAAGTCAGAGATGCAGAAACAGGAGTGGGCTATGAGGCGCACAGCCTAGGTGTGGACCCGGGGCTGTAAGTGAGCTCCCTCGAGGAGCCACCCAGGAGGAGCAGGGCTGCAGGCAGGTGGGAACTCGGACCTGGCTTCTCATGGGTGGGGCTTCTTGGAGGACAGGGCTAGTCCCACCAGCTGACCCTGATGTTTCTGTCTTGATCCAAGCTGATTCTCTCCAGGTAATATCTCTGGAAGCTGTCGTGCCAGCAGCGGCCACCCCACACCACTTGCAGCTCCATCCTGGGAGGACAGAGACGTTCACCTGTGTCCTCGGAAGAAGGGACCATGACCAGACTCTGGGGGACCTACCAGCTCCTGCTTGCCCTCCTGGTGGCCCTGGTGGCCCTGGGGGGCAGCACGCTTGTATACAAGGACACGAACAAGGTCTTGAGGGAATTAAGGAACGTCAGCAGCTCAAGCAGCAATGTGAAGCAGTGTCTGTGGTTCGCCATGCAGGAGTACAACAAGGATAGCAAGGACAAATTCCTCTTCCAGGTAGTCAAGGTGTGGCAGGTGCAGATGCAGGTAAGGGCACTTCCTCCCACTTTGCACACTCGCTCCTGCTTGCCCCTGGCAGCACAGACCAAAGCCAGGATGAGAGAGAGGGCACGTGAGCTGCACTGGGACCCAGTAGTCCTGGACACAGTGGCGCTGGGCCCCACGGCCAGCTCCCTTTCTTAGGTGCCATGACGACTGTCCTAGGGGCCCCAACCTATGAACTCAGTTAAACTCCAAATGGCAAATCACACATTTGTGATCCGTGTTTGCTAAGGTTGTGAGACAACTGAGCACCATGAATATTTTTACAATAATGCTACCCTGAGTGATATTCAATCTCCCCATATCCCGTGGGATGTGGGCTGACATGGAATAGGTAGGCTTATAAAGTGCCTCCTCCCAGATCCCTTCATTCTCTCAGTCCTACATCTTTTTAGCGGCAGTGGTTCTGTCCATGTAATCCATCCCTACAGGGCCTCAGGTGACCCAGTGCTGAGAGTCATCGATCACCTGATATCCACATGGGGGACACTCCACCCCCACCTGCCAAGTCCACGAAGGGGTCCTTGGTGTTGGAATTCTGCTGACTTCTAGCCTCAGTCAGGTGTTTGGGGTGTGGTTGGGGTATGAGTACACAGGAAATTTGCAAGGATGTATTGCAAAGACATTCAGCAGACAGGCCATTGTGACAGACTTACCCCAGGTGTTGGACTCCAGGTTCTCTGGTGGCAGGAGCAGGGCCAGGTTACATGTGACCCTGTCTCCAGGAACATGTGCACCATCAGCCCGGCGTCCCCAACACACAATGTTGACGACTGCAAGCTCCATCGGGGCACCTCCGTCACCCTTCAAAGTAAAGGCTCCTGGGTCCTGTGACTTCTGCACAGGAAGAAAAGCCCTTCACGGTTTTCTCCTTTGGGACCCTCAAGCAGTACCAGATGCTGTAGATGAGGCTGAGATGGAAACAAATGATCACAGCCTTTAGAAAGCCAGGGGACCAATTAGAAGACAAAGTGCGAGACTTCCCTGGCTGTCCAGTGGTTAAGACTGAGTTCCCCTGCTTTGGGGGGGCGTAGGTTTGATCTCTGGTTGGGGAACTAGGACCCAACATGCTGCACGGTGTGACCAAAAATAAATCAATTAATTAAGTAAAGAGCTGTCTTTCACTGGAAATCAGGTTCTACTCTCAGCCAAGACATGTTGATCAAAGAGAGAGTTGGTGGCTCATTCATTTCTGACTCTCTGTGACCCCTCAGACTCTAGCCCTCCAGGCTCCTCTCACCATGGGATTCTCCAGGCAAGAATACTGGAATGGGTTGCCATTTCCTCCTCGAGGGGATCTTCCCAACCCAGGGATCAAACCGAGGTTTCCTGCATTACAGGCAGACTCTTTACTATCTGAGCCACCAGGGAAGCCAAAGATGATGAAAAAAAATTAAAAAGAAGACAAAACCCCGAGCCAAACTCGAGAGCTGGGATGCCACCTATGGCACGTTGCTTGTGGGGCTTCCTTAAAGAGTTGGTGAGTCCCCTTCCTGCACCAGCCACACCCTCACCAATTAAATGAGGATCTCTGGGTGGAACCTGGGTCCCCTGCATGGTCTTGACTGAACCCTGCCTCCTGAAGTTAAGCTGAAGGTGACACCCAAGGGCAGACAGGCTACAGGGAAAGGAGGTTGGTGGGAGGTGTTTTTTTGGGGGTTGCCCAGAAGCAGCCTCTAGCACTAGTGTTTCAGTGAAGTGGTTTATTTGAGAGGCCATCCAGGAAGCACCTGGCGGTCAGAGGGGATTGAAAGGGGGCAGGGAAGTGGCCAGTGCAGGGGAGTCGCTGAGCACGTTGACTGTTGAGGGCACCTGGACTCCATGTCCCTTGGGCTTCGAGGAGATGGTACAACACCTGTGCAGGGTTGGACCGCCTGCAGGAGGGGAGCTGGGTTCCTCTCCCACCAGCTCTCGCCTGTCACTGGCTGGGAGATGCTTCCAGGGCCCTTGGCTCCGTCTGGCAGCAGGGAGCCCCGGGAAGCAGCAGAGTAGGTGGGTGCCTGGGCCCCCGCCAACAGTATCCACTACAGGTGAGCAGGGAGAGTTTAGGGGTGCAAGGGGGGGATGAAGGAGTGTGACTCCTAGCCCTAAGGAGCCAGTGTGAGCGGCCAGACAGGTGGGCTGTGATCAGGCCAGGCCGGGCCTCCTAGACTGTGGGCAGGATGTTCAGTCTGTCTTAGGAAGACTAAAAGCCAGAGGGGCATCAGGTTAGGGAGTTCTTGGGATCCCTGTGACCAGATGTGGTCTTTCAATCTGCCATTCTGGTTTCCTCACCTCCAGAAAGGGGCGTGTGCATTCAGGTCCCCAATTCCCTGGAATCAAGTCATCCTCTGCCTTCCTGTGGCTGGAGGAGCCGAGGCCAGGACTGCAGGGGGAGAGTGTGTTCCATGTCCAATGCCTCTGTCTCAGTCCTGGGTCGGCCACCAGCTGGCCAACCGGCTTCTCCCACAACAGCCCAGTCTCCCTGTTAGTTCTCTGGAACAAAACTAAGATGTCATTTGTTGTTGTTCAGTCACTAAGTCACGTCTGATTCTTTGCGAACCCATGGACTGAAGCATGCCAGGCTTCCCTGTCCTTCACTATCTCCGAGTCTGCTCAAACGCATGTCCATTGAGTCAGTGAGGCCATCCAACCATCTCATCCTCTGTCCCCTTCTCTTCTCGCCTTCAATCTTTCCCAGCATCAGGGTCTTTTCCAATGAGTCTGCTCTTTGCATCAGGTGGCCAAAGTATTGGAGTTTCAGCTTCAGCATCAGTCCTTCCAATGAATATTCAGGGTTAATTTCCTTTAGGATGGACTGGTAGGATCTTCTTGCTTAAGACTGGAGAGGCAGTGTGGGAAGGCCTGGTAGCAAAGGTTGACTCCAGGGGAACTTGGACCCAAGCTGAAGACACACTCCTGTCTCCTGCTGTCTTCTTCCTCTTTGCTATATTTTACTTCCCGTGGTCATCAGAATCACCTGGAGGCTTGTTCAGACACTGACTGTGCATGCCCCACCCCCACCCCCAGCAGTTTCTGACTCAGTGGTTCAGAACCTGCATTTCCATCCACTTCCCTGGTGATGCTAATGCTGTTGATCTGGGGACCCCACCTACGAAGGTCTGGGACAGCACTGTGGAAGGACAGCCCTTATCTATTCCTGCTCTGACTCTAAGAGCTGATGGGAGAAGTATTTTCTGCATGGCGGGCTTGGCCGTCTCTAAATCCTACTGTAATCTTTTAAAACCAGATGGAGGCAGATTTATTAATAAATGGACATAAAGCAGCCTTCACCTCACTCAATCATTCATGAATTCTGTCAGCTGCTCCTGTTCTGCTTCCTAAACACTCAGAGAACAGGAAGACAGCAAGCCTGGCTACACAGGACCCTGGGGTGGGGTTAGGGGTCTTGGGTGGGGAAGCCTCAATGGGCAGGGGATCTCAGGTGACAAAATCTGAAGGGGGTGTGTGTGTGTATGGGATGGGGCTCAAGGAGGAGATCCCATGTGGCCGAGGGTCCTGTTCCCAAGGGGCCCAAGTGAACTGGTAACACCCCGGGCGCAGGAGCCAGTTGTTCTGAAGTAGAAGGTCTTGCCTTCAGGAAGGCCCCATACTGGATAGAGCCTCCACCCCGGGGAATCCGGCTCCAGGTAGGGGTATCTTTGTGTGGTGGCTCCACAGGCCATCTCGTAAAGATATGTTTGGAAGGGGGAGGAGGAGGAGATAAGGAGAGGGAATGAAAGGAAGAGCAGTTTTTTTTCAGGGTTTGTTAAAAACATTAAAAAGTAGAAGGCTTTTTGAACAAAATTGCATGACTGCTAATCAACAGGTCACAGATTGCCTGGAATACTTTATTGATGCTGAAATCGCCCGCACCAACTGCAGAAAGCTTCCAAACGGTAATGAGAATTGCGTGGTTAAGAACACCTCCAAACCGGAAAAGGTAGGGGACACACCAACTGTCTGCGGTGGTCTTGGCTGCTCTGAGCCCCAGGCAGAACTTGTGGTACCCAGATCTTGTCTTTGAGTGGTCGGCACAACTCCCAGAGCAGAGCCCCAGAGTGGTCAGTCCTGCAGCCATTGTAGCAAACAGTGCAGGGCAGCAGACTGTGAAGGAAGCCTCGTCCTAGGGACAAGGTGCTGTCAAGATCACTCTCAGTGCAAGGCCTCCATCCCTCTGGGTTCCTGGCACAGGGAAACTTGCTCACACACATTCACTGGGAATCCACCCTCTTGGACCTGGAGGTACCACCCTACTGTGGCCTGACCCGAGGTTGCCCATCCTTGTGAAAGTACAAAGGGAAGTCCATTCATTCACTCAACTGCTAATCAAAGCTTACCTGGCACCAGGTGCTATGCTGGGTGCTGGAGATTAAGCAATGGTCAGGTTAGGCATGTCCCCAACCTCCCAGGCTCAGCCTTGGGAAGACCCCCAGGCTCGAAGCAGAGGGTTGATGTGGCCCGGGGGCTTTTGGCCTCAAGCCTGTATTTCTGACTTGGGGTGGGAGTATCCCGGGTTGACTTGAGGGCTTCCTCTGATGTTGGTGAAGCCCCCAGGGCTCTCTGCAGGTGGAGGTGGGTCCCTTCCTTCACACTAATGGTCCTTCACATGAGACAGGTCAGAATCATTTGGCGGCCTTGACACACCTGGATGGCAGGGTTCCCCTGCAGAATCAGACTCAGTAGTCTGGAGAGGAATCTAAGAACTGGTGTTGCTAATGAGCTTCTGCAGTGGGGTTCCTTGGGACTGTGCTCAGAACTGCTGTGGCATGCAGTCACAGTAGGGAACACAAAGGTCTTTTGACGGGAACCTAAAACTTCCTCTGTGGGCTTACTGTGAACAAATCCATCACTTCCAGCAGAGCAGAGGCTCCTCAGGACAATCATTCAAGCAGGGAGCACGTGGGATACCATCTTATCTTTTATTTTTGTTTTGTTTATCTTTTTGTGGTAGTAGAAATATTGTGGGCTGAAGTTTATATTTTCTACTGGGTGCATTGAGGATAAAGGAGAGTTGTTACTTTTTACCTGTTTGTAGAAAATATTGAAGAATTAACACTAAGATTAATTAGGAAACTTGTCTCCAGGAAGCTCTTTTATTCTTTTGTAAAGTTTCCATGGCCCATCTCGGTTTTAGAGCACACATTTTAAAGTACACATTTATCAATAAACAAAACTTTGTTCCTTTCTTTCCAAGTGTTTGGAATAATGCTGAAGAGGAGTCAGGCTGGGTGGTGTCTCATTCCTGGAGGACTTAATGGGATTCTTTTCAGTATTTATACCTTATTAGTAAATACTACATCAGGTGTTGATTTCCAAAGTTCTTCCAACTCCCTCTTTATCAAGAGTTATTTTTTTTAATTAAGGATGTTTTCTTCTATTAATTATTCTTTCAACATCTACCAAGTATATTGAATAATTTTTCTTCTTTGACCCATTACTAAAATAAATTCAAATAATAGATCCCCTAATATTGAGTCATCCTTATGTGTCTGAAATAGGAAGTACGTGTCTTTTTTCGGTTGTTCTGTAACTGAGTGTCGTGGTTAGTTCTCATCTGCATTGAGAGTGGTGGCAGGTGCATAGATCAAGGTGTGCAGACTTTCTGGGTGAAGCTGCATCTTTGGCAGGGTTTCTGGACAGCTGGACCTGGACATGGCAGGGGACCGTCCTTATTCCTCTGACCCGATCAGCTTTGTGGAGCTTGCTATGGACACACACATCTGGCATCCTCCTCTCCTTTATGGCAAATTTCTAGTTCTGTTTGATTGTAAGGGTGCTATTCCTGAAGGTCACTCTGTGGATGGGCTTGTGCATGTGGGTGGCTAGTCTCAGGTCACTGCTTTTTTGTGGACAGGACAGCCTGTTTTTCTTGTCACCTCCCTTTGTGGGAGCCATCCTGCGGGGTCCAAGCTGGAAGGGAGCAGTGGCGTGGGTGGGGTCTGCCCTCGTCTCTTAGAATATAGAGGGCTTAGTGAAGTGAAGTCACTCAATCATGTCCAATTCTTTGTGACCCCATGGACTGTAGTCTACCATGGCTCCCCTGTCCATGGGATTTTCCAGGCAAGAGTACTGAAGTGGGTTGCCATTTCCTTTGCCAGGGGATCTTCCCAACCCAGGGATCGAACCCGGGTCTCCCGCGTTGCAGGCAGACACTTTACTGTCTGAACCACCAGGGAAGCCTGGTGGCTTAGGGTGCCACTTTTTGTTTATGAATTTTGCTTTTCTATATATCAATATTAAGTACACTCAAACTCCCCAGAGAATGACTTGGAGTGTGTGGTACACACACACACACACACACACACACACAGATTCCATGGCCTCATCTCAAACCTACTGAATCAGAAGGTCCAGGTACAGATATTGTACACACTTCATGTCAAGGGAATGCTGAAAAGCACTGCACAAGGGTCAGCAGTTGTTCAATACGCTGCCTTTAATTTACTGCCTTTTTAAAGGATATTATTTTCTATTTTACTAGGTAAGCCTGGGTTACAGTTTATTTCTTGGTTGTATTTTGGCTTCAGGGTTTCTCTGGTCTGGTGTAATGAGAACAGGGGCTTTTCAACTTTTTTCTGCAATCAGATCAGTTTAAAGGCCAAAAGAGCTTTGGATTCCCAAGGTTTGATGTAATCTGCCCATAAAATCATCTTGACTTGGTATCTTGTGGGTTTGTGGGTACCCCACAATCCTCCTTTGTGTGTGTCAGAATTCAGCCAAGACCTAACGCCCTTCTCTCTGACACTGTTTGCCCCTCACTCCTGAATTGCCCCTGTGTTTCCAGTCAGTTACTGAAGATGGCCACTGCTGTTTTTCTAGAGTGTCTACCTGCCTGTCCATCTGACTAAGCCTCTTTCCACCTGTTTGTCCATCTATTACCCACAGAGAAGTTTTCATTTGTCATTTCAATGACATTTTGAAAGGGAGAAGAAGGAGCTTTGGAATAAAATTTATGTTAGGTCCTAGAATCCTCTACGTTGCTCTTATCTGATGTATTTGTCATCAGAGCAAAAGGCATTATTTGATTATTAAGATGACGTGTATTAATTTATACCTGGCACAGAACTGTGGTATTTACATTATAGACAATATTAAGGAGGATTAAAAATAAAGTCAAATTTACATCTGATCTCCCACCAAAAATATGATGATTAGTATTTGCTGTCTATCCATGGATGGGATGGGGACAAACACTCCTCCATGTAACTTCTGGTGGCTGCAAGGGTCTGCAGCCTCCAGCCAGCAAGTTCTGTGGGGAGTTCCTTGACGGGTGATGACCCGTCTTCTGGTCTGTTCCTATGCTGCACCCAGCTACAACGCTGGCACCTAGCTCCAACGCTGGCACCTAGCTCCTACGCTGGCACCCGGTAACAGAACCACTTTTTCTCTCGCACTTGGCACACTGCTGACTTCTGCTGTGGTGGTGGTCTTTTTCAGAGACAAATGTGCACCTTCTGGGTGGGCACACTCCCATGGCACGGCTATTTCACTGTGATGAAGAAGCAGTGTGTGGACGCCTAGAGGCTCTGGAGCCCCGCCAACATCCCTCCCTTTATGAAGAAGTGATGGCCTGTGAGCCGTTACCAACACCCTTTCCTCACACGTGTGTCCCTGCGTGCTGTTCTACTTTCTAGTTTCTTGCTATGTGGTAACAGAAGGTGGGAAAGACCCATGCCTCCTTCCTGGCCTCATAGGAGGGCACTTGCCTTTGGCTGACGTGACGGCATGCCACTAGGAATAGGGAACGTTTGTCCCTGAGCACAAAGGGTGAAGTGAGGGCTGATTCCATTTTCCACCGCACACTTGGGAAGGAATCACTTTTTGATCGGATAACACCCCTCACACACACACACGCAGACATACACACACAGAGGGCTGAATACAGTGGGTGCTAACTCACAAGTTCCTTCTGGGAGCCTCATCTGGCTTCAGACTCCTCCCTCCCTGGGTCCTGAGTGGATGGGTCACCAGGGGGCTGGGAGACCCCCTGGCAGAAGCATCAGTCCTCCCCCTGCGGGGTCTCTCAGAATTGGGAGAATTTGTTTTACTTTTTATGTAAGTGTCAACAGCGGTCACAGATCAAGAAAGGTGAGGGCAATAAAGCTTCAGGGGAAGCTGAAGTACACATGTGTCTGGGGTGCACGTGTGTGCACAGGTGTGCATGAGTGTGCACGAGTATGCACATGTGTGCAGGTATGTATTGGTGTGGGTATGCAGTTGTGTATGTGCAAAGACCCTCTGTGAAAGAAGTACAGGGATGATAGTAGGAGATAAAACTTCAAAGAAAGCAGTCATTAAAAATACGTGTGTCTGGGCTTTGCTGGTGGCTCAGTGATACAGAGTCCACCTGCCAACGCAGGAGACACAGGTTTGATCCCTGCGCTGGGAAGATCCCACCTGCCATGGGGCAACTAAGCTTGTGCACCACAGCTATTGAGCCTGTGCTCCTGAGCCCAGGAGCTACGACTACTGAGTCCATGTGATGCAACTACTGAGGCCTGCACACCCCGGCGCCCGTGCTCCGCCATAACAGGTCACCGCTGTGCGAAGGCCATGCACAGCAGCTAGAAGGTAGCCCTGGCTTGCTTCAGCTAGAGAAAAGCCTGCATAGCAAGGAAGACCCAGCAGTGATAAATAAATAACTAGGTGTGTCTGAGGGAGGATTCTCTGATGGATACAGTTTTTAGTTTTGCAGGATGAAAACCTTGTGGAGATCAGGGCCACAACAATGTGAATATACTCAGTGCTACCGAATGTCCGTTTGAAAATGGTTAAAATGGAAGGTTATGTATATATATATATTTACCACAATTAAAATGTTTTTAAGTAACTATCCTGTTTTAAACATGGCGTTGGGTACAATTTGGGACGACAACTGTGTTCCCAAAGGTCAGGGTTTCTCCTCAGGGCCTGGTGGGTGATGGGGAAGCAGTGTTGCTGCCCCGATAGAAGGAGGTCATGAGACCCCAAGGCCATTGCTTTCGTCTCTGGCTCCTCTGAACTGAGGTCTCAAGCGGGAACATGGAGGTCTCGGTTGGGACTGTCACACTTCCCGGGGCAACACCGGGTTGCCTCTCCTTCCACTGTCCCTCCCCCACCCCCGTCAGTCCCCACAGTCTCTTCCAGGCCCAGCCCTGCACCCCCCACTCTCCTCCGACACAGCCCCTGCTCTGCCCCCCTCCCTACCAGGAGCCTCCCCCAACTAAGGGCCCAGGCTTTAGATCTGAAACAGGCTCTACGTCAACCTAATACTCATACGCTGATTGAAAACTACTCTTTCCCAGCCAGCCAGGGGGCTCCATCTAAAAGTGCCCCCTGACACCCCAGTGGGATACCCCTCAGAGGAACAGCAGACCCCCCACCCAGCCCGGGAGCCCAGGTCAGCCCACAGCCGCCTGCCGGTCCCCCCAGCTCCAGAGGCACACGTGGGTGCCTAGGAAGGAACTTTTGGGATCAGCCCCTTGGGATGGGCCTTCCTTTAGGCTTGTTGGGTGGGAACCACGGGAATCTGGTGTTCATCGCAGGCCTGGGGACAGTGTGGGGTCAGCCAAACATTCCAGGGCAGGGTACCACCACAGGGGTGCTACAGGTGTGCCTTGCTGAGAGATGTCCCATACAGGTCTATTTCTAAGTGTGTGTTAACTAACAAGAAAATTTAATCTAACCTCACCTCTTTCCAACCTGCCTCTCCAAGGTGCTTCATTTTCTCTCTCTTTACATGAAAAATGATGCCAAGCAGGCCTCGCTTTTCCTTGCTGGGTTTCATGTCATTTCTGCTAAGATGTTACTAGAGTTTCTCTCTTTCTCTCTCTCTCTCACACACACACACACACACACACACACACACACTGTTACTTCCCCTGAGGGGGACGGGAGGGAAAGAGCCCCAAGATCTGACCTGCAGCCTCCACTTCACCCTGCTGAAGCCCTCCTGCATCCTGGACTTTGTTCTGAGACCCCGGAGCATGGGGTCCCAGGAAGTCATGGAGACAATGGAAACAGGGCCCAACCAGGCAGCCCCGGAGGACTCGGAGACCGGTCCAGGGCTCAGCGGGGGTTGAGGTCTTTCCACCCAGTGACCAGTTATGGCCATTCTAAGTGCAAACAAGGAATCCATTCAGCCCAGTCCTGGGTGGGGCCGGGGGAAAGGAGGCAGAGCTCCCAGGACCTGCAGGCACCCCAGGGACCACTTGGGCTATAGTGGCAGGGGGTGCCGGGCCTCCAACCTGGGAAAGGGCCAGGGGGGCTGTGGGGAGAATGCGGCCGTGTGCTGGTCTCAGAGACACGAGTGCCGCACCAGCTCTGCCGTGTCCCCCGTGGCACCTTTACCCCGACACACTGCAGGTCTGCTTGCCTTGAACTGGGCCGGCGTGGGGACTGCCTGGCTCCTAGGTCCTGCTGGACTGGGAAACCATGTGGGCACACAGACTCAGCTGCCATATGTGTCTTGGGAGAGTCCCCCTTTTTACATGGTTGGTACGTGTAGACTCAGTGGGTGCACTTCTAGAGTCTCCAAAGGAGTCAGAGACAAAAGGTCAAGACCCAGGCGCCAGAAGCGTGTGGAGTGGCCACCACCATCCACTCTGTGCAAGGGGCAGGGCGGGATGGCCATGTGCAAGCTCTGGGATGGACCTGGGCTGGCAAATACAAGGGGGTTTCACTCCAACCCCGGGAGCGAAATACAAGGCCATTTCATTTTATGGGATAAAGATTTGGGTCCTCTCTCGAGATGGATGGACATGGCCAGGGCAGAGGACGGGCAAGCAGGAGGAGGGTGCTTCAGCCAGAGGGGAGGCCCAGAGGGTGAGATGGCCCTTCTGTGGCTGAGGATCCCTGGCCCACCTGGCTGCTTTCCTTGGTGAAGCCCACTCCCCTCATATCCACCATGGGGGTGCCCGGATTCCCTGGAGACCCTGGACAGAAGCAGGCCACTGCACCGTCTGCCTTCTGGCATCCACGGTCTCAGCCAGGGCCACCCATGAGAGTCAACACAAAATAGACTGGGTGGGGCACTCATCTCCTCCCACAGTCTCTGTCCCCATCACCAGGTTTCTCCTGGATGTGGGGCCAGGTCAACGCAGCCATTGACATCACCCAGGGCCAGCCAGAGGCTCTTCAACTCCTTCCCGAGGAGTCGTTTTCTCCTGTGGACTGACCAGAGTAGAAGGAGAGATGACTCGAAGGGCCTGGATGGCCCCTCCACAGCCCAGTGATGATGCCAGTGGGGACTGGACGTGCCCTTTTGTGCCCACTTTGTCTACAGTGCCCAGGGCATTTTAAAAGCTTCCCTCCTGCTATGCCCCATCCATGGCCTGGCCACACAGGCGGCATGCCCACTCTGGGCTGCTCCCCACCCCCAGCATTCAGCACTCACACACCATGTCCCCACCCTCAGTGGGACCGACCCCCATGATGGGCAGCCTCCGCGCTCCTCGCCGCACATGGGTCCAGCCTTTGACAGAAAATGATGGAAGCTCAGGAAGCCACAGCAAACAGAGGTGGGGGAGCCCAGGGCAAGTGGGCACCTGGAGCTTGCGGTCAGGCTTGGCCAGGGGAAGCCCTGTCCCCATAGCGTTTTACTGACCCTACGAGCAGAGCCTGGCTACCAGGGGACCAGTCCCAGCTAATGGCCTCCATTCTCGGACATAAATGTTTCTGAGCACAAGTAAACAAGTCCTGAGTCCTGGCTGGTCCACAGAGCCCCCCCCCCCCCCAGCCAGGGGAGTGAAGCCAGGAGCAGGGTCGAATGTGTGACCACCTCCCAGACACCAGTACCCCTGAGCTAGGGGGCTGCTGGCCCTGTGGGGGCCGGGGTATAGCCACAGGCCAGCTTGGAAGATGAAGTTCTTATCCCAACAACTGTTGCCATCTAGTCCAGTCCTTCCTGTATAACTGGGTCCTGGGGCTGCTTGTCTTCACCTTGGGGGACCGCATACCCACCTCTGTGAGTGGGTCCATGGAAACAAGGGATGTGCTGGGTCAGCTGCTCTGCACATCCTGGCCAGGGAGCCTGACCATTCTGGCTCACCTATCAGGGCTGGGACACTTGGATCTGTGGGTCTCTGCTGAGGCTGGGCTGGATGGTGGCCTTGGGGACAGTGGGCAGCAGAGGCCTGAGCCCTATCTCTGCGGGTCCCTCCCACTTCTTACTGTCAACCGCATCCCATCCACAGTTGAAAAAGCGTTATTTCTAAGGTCGCCTTTGTTCTTGAGCTGACACAGAGATTGACTGTTTCCACTTCCAAGTAGGCCAGGGACAAAACAGACAGCAAGGCACTTCCCCAAAGAACAGAGAGTCCTGGGAATAGAGGGTGGAAGGGCTTGGGTCGAGGAGCTCCCTGCTCTTATCTGGACACCAGGCACCTGCAGCGTGCAGCCTTCCACCCCCACAAACAGCAATGTGACTCTGGGGACCGATCTTGGGAAAAGAATTGTCAGTGGCAATGACCTGGTCTCCTGCCCCACGTGGTGCCCCACCATGGACACTGCAGGGATGGGCCCCTGAGCTGTCTGACTTGGTG